ATACCCATTTCTCATATGTTCAGTCTTCAGAGTCAGTTACTGGTCATTCATCCAAAATTTTCTGAAAATTAGGGGGAACTTTGGCCTCAAGACAGGCACTAAAAGTGGAGATGGCAGTGAGGGAAAATATCAACAAAGGAATGAAAAAAGCATTTATTAGCATTTACTATGTGCCAGTCACTGTGCACATTTATATCCCCCCTGGGGATATAAATATTTTTAAAAAAGTGATACAATACAAATAAGGACAACATATATACTCAATAAACTCTAGTGGTTCTCTATTGTATCTAGGATGCCATATAAACTCCTAGTCTTTTACAGCCTGGCCTCCACCTACCTGTCCAGCCTTGTGAGATGTTACTTCCCTTCCCGCACTGTGCGGTAGAGCCTAACTGGCTCCATGCCTCTGCACAAACAGTCCTCCATGCTGCAACACTCTCTCTCCCTGCTGCCATTTCTTGGTGTTGCTGGCTTCTTCCTTTAGGAGCAGGAACTGCGTTTGTTTTTTTTTGCCCTTTTGTGTATTTGTTTTGTGTATTGTGTGTAGTAACACTTAGTAAATGCTTGTTGTTTAATGACTACCTCCCAGTCTCCCATTCATCTACTTTTCAACTCAAAAAGCCTGTCACTTACCTTTGCATCTTCTCGTCCTCTGTATTCCATCATTTGAAAAATTCTGTCATTTCTCCTTTGCAAAGTGTTTCTTAGATTCTTCCCTCCTACAGTTCCAGGGCCATTTCTCTAGTTTAGACTCACACCACCACCTTTCTGGTTCTCTACAGTTTTTCCTTGATTGGCCTTCTTGTTTCCACAATATCCCTATTCCAATTCAGCCTGCATACCACTGCCAGATTATCTTCCTCAGATACTGTTTTCATCATATCATTTCCTGCTCAGGAATTTTCAATGATTTCTCACTCTTGGTCAGATAATGCCTGACATTCAAGATCCCCTGTAATCTGCTAACCTTACCTATTCAAGTTGATTGTTACTGCTCTCTAACCTGAATCCTTCACCCTCGCCTAACCATATCATTCTTCTCTCACACCTCCCCTAGCCATACACACACTGCACCAAGTTTTGTTGTTTTTTCCTTGTGCTGTTACTCATTCCTGGAATCCTTTCTCCCTCTTTTTCCATCTGTTCACATTCTTCCCACTCTTCAAAGACAATCTTAAGTCCCAAATCCTCCATGAAACCTTTCTTGACCACTCTGACTCTCATTCACCTTTCTTTGATAGGTACTCCTATACCACCCAGTTTCGTACTTACATACTAGCACCTACTTCACTTCAGGGATATGCCAGGTACAGTGGTACACCTATAGTAACTGCTGCTGAAAGGCTGAGGCTGGTAAATCCCTTAAGTACAAGAGTTCGGAGCTGCAGTAAAGCTAAATCTAGACATTTATCCACACTAAGCTGGGCACTAAAATGGAGAGCCCCTCAGAGCAGAAAACCACCAGGCAACCTAACACAGGGCAAACCTACCCCAGTCAGAAAAACACAGCAGATTAAAGCTTCTGTGCCAGCTAGTATTGGGATCTGGCCATGAGTAGCTGCTACACTTTCCCTGGCCAAGAGAGGGAAACCTGGTCTCCAAAACAAAAGAAAACTTTCAAGGATCTGTATTTTGTTAGTATGGGTACTCGCTCCAATAACAGCTAACAACCTCCTATCTCTCTGTTCCTGTGGATGAATAATTAATTCACCATCCTGAAACCAATCTGATTGATAACCTTGTCTGAATTTAGCTAGGTTGGTTCTTGGACAAAAGACATACAGTCCATTACTAAACCCATATTCAAAGCCTTTCCAGCTTGATACGATATGCCAAAGGTTATGCTTTGATGACTTGCCTTCGATAACCAGGTCATGGCCATGCAGTGATGAGGTATTGGAATCAAAGTTTGGTAGAGGATACTACCTCATACTGTTCTTGAAACACTTATAAAAGGTAATCTTCCCCCACCACCAACAAGAAGATTAAGTTCATCAAGAAAAGGAATATAGTGTTTTCTATTTCACTTATGTCTCTCCAGAGTCATCTGTGAAGTTTTCTTATTATAGAGTAAGTAATAGATGAAGATGTGTTCGAGAAATACTTTCTTGGTTTTTAATCTCCCAATTACTAGCACTAATCACTAAATCAATTAGCAAACATTTATTAAGCATGTACTAAGTGCCAAGATAAATATAAAGAGAATAATACAAATAGATACAATGCAGTTAAATACAAGACAGTTAGGGATGCTGGACTCTAACAGTTGGTGGAAGGGTGCTTGATAAGAAAGGGCAAGTAAATACTTGGAGAAAAACCCTATCTCTGCTGCCAGAGAAGATGGTAATATTAGTGGGTAGGAAACTCCCCTTCATTCCTATTTAGTTAATCACTCTTCCCTGTGTGTTTACAGAAACAATAACAGCTTTGTTTTTTGTGGAGACATAAATGCACATTGCATGAATATTAAATGAACTAAATATTTCAAATGAAACCCATTTCTAAAGGTTTATCAAAAAGGTTTTTTTTTAAACCAACACAAAACAGCCATAAGTCAATTCTGTTTTGAAAGGTCTCAACATGTGTATTTTAGAACAAAATCTGAACTGTGAGGGATTGTGTGATGTTGGCTATGTGCCACATGGGGGTTGTGGCAAGATGGGGCAGGGACAAGATATTAGGAAGTAACCGGAGCTCACGCTCCCAAGGCAGGGGGCTGTGCCATGTGGAGTTGTGGTGAACTGGGGTAGGAACAGGATACGGGGAAGTAGCTGGAGCATGTGCTCCTGAGGCAGGGGGCTGTGCCACGTGGGAGTGGGATGGCAGAGAACGAGCTCCCTTTGTCTAGTCCTCTCCCTAAGTGCAGCGCTAACCCCAGATGTGTCCTTCCGGTATCTAGGCCTAGCTTCCTTTGTCACGTCCTCTCCCTTGGTGCAGTGCTAACCCCAGACATCCCCTTCCGGTATCTGATCCTACAACCAATTACTAGTAGGCGGGCTGAGGAGGAGGGGCTAGGAAGGTATATAAGGGGTAGTAGGGATCGGAGCTCGCTCTCTTGCTCCTGCTCGTGCTTTCCTGCTTGGCCTTGCTGTGATGGCCTCTGAATAAAGTTCGAGTGCTTGCACCTCCTGATCAGCTGTCTCTGTGTTTATCTGGGTGGGCTCTGAGGCCTGGTGAGTATGACCCTGGCAGCCTGCTCCTGTTAGAAGGAGAGCGCACGGCCCGACTGGCACACTTAACCATAAAATAAGCAGTTCTGGGGAGCTAGGATCTCTTCAAATTTATCTTTTCTTTTTTTTCTTTTTTTTCTTTTTTATTTTATTTATTTATTTAGGCAATTGGGGTTAAGTGACTTGCCCAGGGTCACACAGCTAGTCAAATTTATCTTTTCAGTAGTTAGAATATACCTCAGCTATCATACTTTAGATATTTTGCTGAGGTGATGATACAAAGTCTAAGTCTGAGTATATGTGAATGTTTTCCTATAATAATTTCTGAATCAGAATAGTGAACCCAATCATGGAAATGGGGTAGAGAAAGAAGAGAAGAGAACCTAATGAATTTATAAATCACTGGTTTAACTAACTCTTCTTTGTATAACACATATTCAGAAGTCATAATAAAACAAAAATCCAAAAGTCATAAAATAGAATAACCAAGGTCATCTGCAACCACGCATTTCCTGTTTCCTAGCTAAGCTTTGCCTGAGATGCTAAGGCTGGTGGTGATACTTGCAATGATATAGTTGTGACCCAAGCAGCCCTTACAAAATTAGAGGGTTCCTTGTTGAAGGAACCCCAAAAGATCCACCTACAAGTCTCAAAATGGTTACTAAAGCTCTAGGCTCCAACAACTATCCTAAGGCTTTGCCATGTTAATTCAGTAGGGGATATTGGAGACAGCTAAAATCCAACAAAATATTATATCTACATACAATGTCTAGTTCAACAAAACCCTTTCATGTTTCAGGAGACTATTGAAGATCTGTCACTCAACTTGCTGAGGGTTAAATCTTCTTCTGGTTCTTGATTTGCATGGGACTAGTGCAAAAAGGTGGTGGAGAACAAGCTAGTTCAAGTACAAAGAAGATAGCTCCTGTTCGTCTTAATTTCCTCTCTCCAAGGTTTGCAAATATATTACAAAGAGCTCCTTACATCCAGGGGCCTCAAGATCTGCTTGTTTATTAGCAAATTGTAATTAATAAAATCAAGGAGACACCTTTTGAAATTTTGGGGATTTGAGGGAGAGAATAAGGGGGCACATCAACCTCAGGAAGTGTTCTGTTCGCACTATTAAAGCTGTCTACCTGATTTCCTTTTATCTCTCGAGATCAGCTTTCCAGTCTCACATCTTGAATGATTCACCTAATCTCTCCTCATCATAGTTTCCTCTGCTTCAATTTCCTAATTTATAATATTATAACTCAACCTAGGATTATAGGATCACAGAATTAGATGTGGAAGAGCCCTCAGACCCCCACTCTGATGGGAATAGTAAGAAAATTAATTGAATTGTTACCTTCTGTCCCCTACCAACATACAAAGACCTGGTTTCCTGTGAAGATACAAAATGTTTTTTAATGAACCCTTATTTGAAAAAGCACTGTGACAGTCTTCAGTCTTTATAATACAATGCCACTGAAAAATAACAAAATTTTCCTATAGAGTACCATTAGCAAGAAGTCAACATAAGAAGAATGTATACTCTTAGGTGTCAGATAAGAACACTATTCTGGTGGATCATATAAAAATACTCATGTCAACCACATAGTCTGAAGGATGGTCTTACTCCAGGGTAGCTTGTTGAGTAAAGACACTGAGGATGAAGGGACGACAAGGGATAGCAGGTCCATTCATTTTGCCAAGGTTTATAATCTCTCAAAAGTTCCAGAGGGACTATTTCCCTGAAGTAGTTGCCCTCCCCCACTTAATACAAATGCAGGCTTTTCCCCTACAAAATAAATACATCTTATCATAACAGGAATAAGCTTGACTTACCTGCACAGTGCAGATGTAGAGATTAAGGAAAGATCCAGGCATTAGCTCAGGCCATGAAAAAATCATGAGCAGGTCATGTCATTTCCTTGAAAGGGAGTTGTGGCTGTAAAGCTGGGAAATTAATACTAGTGGTTTCCAAGGTAGTATAAACTAAACAGGTGTAACCTGAGTATTTGTTTTGGCTCATAATTTAAGTTATAGTAATCCTATGTCTCTGATGTGAGTAATACATGCTAAGGGGGAAATGAAGTTGGAATCAATATCTTAAAGCTATCTATACATATGTAGTTGATTGAATGTATGTTCTTTTAAAAAATTATGTTTTGATCAACCACTTAAGGCAATTAGAACAGTGCTGTACCTCCTTTAAGATTATCGAAAACTTATTTGCCCATGACTGTCTATTGGTAAGTCTTACCATTTCTACTTTTACAACATCTCTCTTATACACCCCCTTCTCTCCACTCACAACCACAATCCTGGTGCAAGCTTTTAATACCTCATACCTGAATTATAGCCGTAACTTTCTGGATGATCTCCCTGCCTCAAGTCTCTCCCCACTCCAATCCATCCTCCACCTAGCTGCCAAAGTAATCTCAAAATACTAGTCTAACCATGTCACTTCATATTCAAAAAACTCCCTATAACCTCTAGGACCAAATATGAAATCTCTTGTTTGTAATTTAAAAGTATATTTTTAATTTTAGATTGTTTCTATCTATTAGGACAGCTCAATGCAAGAGATACCACAAGAAAGAACATGATTCATTACCAAATGAATGGTTCAGAATGGTAATAAGTGTAATAGGAATTTAGAGAAGAGAAATATGACTTCAAACTCAGGTGATTGAGAAAGAGTTTGCATAAGAGACAGGATCTGAATTGGATCTCGAAAGATAGAAATTAGCATGGTATGTTCATTACCTCAAAAATCAGTCCATTCCATTGTTGAGAGATCTGATTGTTGAAAAAATCATTCTAGCTCTACTCAAAGAGGTTAAGGAACTTGCCCAAGGTCATGCAAGTAGTAAGTGGCAGAGTTAAGATTCAAACTTAGGTCTAATGCCTCCAAGTTCAACATATTTTCTACTGCACTATACGCCTCCCCTGCCATCGCCACTACCCAACTTCTTCCTTTGGACTACCATATATTGGCCCTAAGTTTGCTCTATGGAGCAGGAAAGAGCATCCTCCCTTTTTCATAGCAACCTTTCAAATATTTAAGGACAGCCTTATTTGTCTTTTCTTCAGATTAAGTATCTCTAATTCCTTAAGATAGCAAATTTTTAAAGCCCTCACCCTTTGGTCAATCTTTCTTAAAATATGACATGATATCCAGAACTTCAAAATTTCAGATATGGTCTGGCTATTACAGGGTACTTCCTCTAAATATTATACTACTAATTTGGACTAAAATTTTATCCCTCTTTTTAGTAGCCATAGCACACACTTACCTCATATTAAGCTTGTAGCTAAATCCCCACTTTTTTCCACATTAGCTGTTTCCAAGGAAGGTATTATCACCTTATATGAATACATTCTATCCAGCTAGGCAAGTCTGATACTCAAAGACCCTGGATTCACTTGCCTGGGATTATTTTGACTTATTCTGTTATTAGTACATGGCCATATTTTCATGTTCAAGGGAGCCATTTTAAAATCAAGTAATATAGGCTGTTCAGATGAGGACTTTTCCCACAGTGAGTGGAAAGGGAATATTTAAACAGAAACAACTAGAATGACTGATAAGCCTAGCCCCTGACACCAAAGGAACTCTACCAAGCCTTATGATTATCCTTTTCTGGATATAGATAGGTAGATAAGGGGCAGCTAGGTGGCAGAGTGGACAGAGCACCAGCCCTGAAGTCAGGAGGACCTGAGTTCAAATCTGACCTCAGACACATAACACTCACTAGCTGTGTGACTCTGGGCAAGTCACTTAACCCCAATTGCCTCACCAGAAAAAAAAAATATATATATATATATATATATGTATTAAATAGGTAGATAGATATAGATGTATATGTATGTGTGTATATATGTGTGTGTGTGTATTTATATATCTGGGTATGTACATAGATACACATATCTTATGTGTGCAAAATATATATATATAAGCATACACACATGCATCTTTAAAAAGAAACTATACATAATAGTTCAAAGTTTCTTATACAAACCATTTTTGGGGGGGAAGAGAATATATTGATCCTGGCAGAGTAGTATGGTTTGTGTTTATTGATAATTAAGTTCACAATGAAAAAGAACATTTTAGAAATCCATGTTTTAAGGATGATCTTCCTTAAAATGGGAAAAGAGAGGGCATAATAAACAAGAAGACAGTGGATAAAAAGAGAGGATACCACTGTATTTATCCACTGTTCAGCATGTGAATCATCTCCATATTTATTCCTCAGACTCACGAAACAATTTATCTTCATTATAATCACTTCATTCAATATTTTAGGTCCAAACAAGAAGTTTTAGCCATACTTATTCTGGTTTACAAAACTTTACCCTAAAGGGCAATTAGGCATTTTTAGCAATCTGTCATAACTTGTAATTTTTTTTAACTTTTCATTCTTTAGAGTGAGAAGACATAGTTTAGTGTCCCTGGAAACTCTACCCAGTGCCTTGGTATCATAATATTCAGCAAAGGCACTGTGCTAGGTGCTGGTATTACAAATATGAATAAGAAACAATTCTTTTCCTCATTCTAATAGGAGAGATAAAACTATATAATATAATCAGCAGAAAAGAGGTCAAAAGTGCTATGAGAAATTCAAGGATCATAGATTTAGAGCTGGGAAGTACCTGAGAAGTCATCTAGCTCAACCCCCTCATTTTACTGATAAGGAAACTGAGGACCAGAGAAGTTAAATGACTCACCCCAGACTCACATAGATAATTAAGTAACAGAATCAGGAGTTCAACCAAGTTCAGATACCATACTCAAGTGCTATTTGGGATCACTTAAATCTGGGGCACTCAGAGAAGCCTTTGGGGGAAAGAACACACTAGAGTTAAATTTTGAAGAAAGATAAAAATTTCAATAGTTCAACAGTTGGTGAAAAGAGTCTATTCTAGGCATGAATTTTAGAACAGTCAAGGGCATAGAAATAAGAAAAGAAAGGAAGATTATTGGGGATGATGAATACTCTAGTTTGGCTGCAAGAGAGATTACATGAATGGGAGCAATGTACACTAAAGCTTGAAAGGTAAGTTGGAACTAGATGGTGAAGACCCTGGAACACCAGGCTGAGGAATTTGTATTTTACTAAATAAGCTGTGGTAAGTGAGAGTATTTCAAAATGACACATTAGTAAGATTTAATGGGCAATAATTTCAGGTATATATCAGAGTAAAGAGACACTAGAAGTAGGGAAAGTGGTTAGGAGGCTATGTTATAATAGTCTACTCAACAGGTAATGAAACTGACCATATATTGGGGCTTAATAACATACTGAAATTTTGAGGATGTAACCAAAGCAGCACTTAGGAGAAAATGTATATCTCTAAATACTTTTATCAATAAAAGAGAGAGAACAGATCAATAAATTGAGCGTGCAACTAAAAAACTAGAAAACGAAAAAATTAAAACCCTCCATTAAACACTACAATAGAAATACTGAAAATCAAAAGAGACTAACAAAATTGAAAGCAAAAATACCCCATTTAACTAGAAAATATAACTAGGAACTGTTTTTTTTTTTAGTCAATTAAATACTTGAGCATTTGAGCTAACCACTTCAGCAAGAGAAAGAAGGTGGAACACTAATGCATTGTTGGTAGAGTTGTGAACTGATCCAACCATTCTGGAGAGCAATTTGGAACTATGCCCAAAGGGCTATAAAATCATGCATACCTTTTAGTCTAGCAATACCACTACTAGGTCTGTACCCCAAGGAGATCATAAAAAAGGGAAAATGACCCAAAGGTACAAAAATACTTATGGCAACTCTTTTTGTGGTGGCAAAGAATTGGAAATTGAGGGGATGCCCATCAATTGGGGAATGGCTGAACAAGTTGTGGTATATTAATTTAATTGAATACTATTGCTCTATAACAAATGATGAGCAGGCAGATTTCAGAAAAACCTGGAAAGATTTATATGAACTGATGCTGAGTGAACTGAGCAGAACCAGGAGAACATTGTACACAGTAACAGCAATATTGTGTGATGAATGACTTTGATAGACTTAGCTCTTCTCAGCAATACAAGAATCTAAGACAATTCCAAAGGACTCATGATGGAAAATGCTATCCACATCCAGAGAAAGAGCTATGGAATCTGAATCTTGATCAAAGCATACTATTTTTTTGTTGTTTTTTCTTTCTTGTGGTTTTTCCCTTTTGTTCTGATTCTTTTTTCACAACATAGCTAATGTGGAAATATGTTTAACTATATCAGATTGTTTGCTGTCTTGGGGAGGAGGGAAGGGAGGAAGGAAGAAAAAAATTGGAACTCAAAGTCTTATAAAAGTGAATGTTGAAAACTATGTTAACATCTAATAGGAAAAAAATACTATTAAGTGAGGGGGAGAGAAAGAAGGAAATCAAATTACCAATATCAAAAAATGAAAAAGGTGAATTTGCAATCAATGAAAGAGAAATAGAAATTATTAGTAGCTATTGTGTCCAAATATGTGACAATAAAATTGAGAATCTAAATGAAATGGATGAATATTTATGAAAATATAAATTACCCAGATTAACAGAACAGGAAGAGACCAGATAGATTTACAAGAAAATTCTTCAAATATTTAAAGAACAATTAATTTCAGCAATATATAAACTGTTTGAAAAAATAGGAAAAGAGAGAATTCTACCAAATTCCTCATATGACACAAATATGGTCGTGATACCTAAAACAGAGGAAGCCAAAACAGAGAAAGAAAACTATGATCCCTAATAAATATTGATGCAAAAATTTTAAATAAAATATTAGCAAAGAGACTACAGAAATAAGTCACAAAGATTATACACTTTAACCAGACTGGATTTATATGAGGAATATTGGACTGGTTCAATAATAGGAAAACTATAAACATAGTAAACAGTATTAATAATGATAACAAAATAATATAATTATATCA